TCCTACTGATTCACCTCCACGATTGGACTGTGAGCTCTGAGGACAACACCACGCTCTGGGCACCAGGACTCAGCTCAAAGCCTCCCCTAGAGTGGGTGTCAGAGTGATCGGACCTTTTCCACCATCTGGTGGCCCTATCAGTCCAGGCTGTCGTGACTATGCGGCCATTGAGAGTTCCACCCCAGCACCTGCTTATTTCAAGCAAGTCAGGCTTCCTAGGCCATACTCTGCATCTACGCTGTCGCCCATGTTCACAGCTCTTGCTTTCTGGAATGGCTTTACCCCATGCCCGCTTCCTGGAATTCCACCTAAAATCAGGGTGGCTTCCCCTACATCTGCTCCTCCATTAGCTTCTCAGTTGCTTCCACTCCCACCAGGATTTCTCAAGTACTTTGCTACATCTCCCTTTTGCTATTATTCTCCACTTTGTTGTTGTTTTTTTTTTTTGAGACATAGTCTCACACTGTAGCCCAGGATGGGACATAGTCTCACACTGTAGCCCAGGATGGAGTACAGTGGCACGATCTCTGCTCACTGCAACATCCGTCTCCCGGGTTCACATGATTCTCCTGCCTCAGCCTCCTGGGTAGCTGAGATTACAGGTGCCCACCACTACGCCTGGCTATTTTTTTGTATTTTTAGTAGATACAGGGTTTCACTATGTTGGCCAGGCTGGTCTCCAACTCCTGACCTCATGGTCCACCCACCTCAGCCTCCCAAAGTGCTAGGATTACAGACATGAGCCACTGCGCCTGACCTCTTCTCAACTTTTATTAATGCTACTTGGTATTTACCTTATTTATTCCTCAGAGTATACATTTAATAAAAAGAAGAACCATATTTTATTAACCTCTGAATGCTTTACCATAGTTCTTGAGGAATGAAAAATATCATTGAATAATATTGAGAAATATTACAGAAAAACCCACAGCTGAGAATTTTGCTATTTATTCCCTAGCCACTGACGATGCATTTGAAAAATTTGAGGACTGGCATTGGGAATTTTTCTGACTATCATACAGAACATATTTTATACTTAAGACAGAATAGCAAAGATGGGGGGCTAATCCTCCTGCTCTAATATTACCTTTGTGCTGTGATACAAGCATTATCATAATCAGTTGTTTTATTAGGTATGTTTATCTTTCCAATTGCCTTGTATCTACAAGGCAATTGAAGAAGATATTTAAATATGACTCTGTAAGAACTATGAACAACTACAGTCTAAAAACAGTATATTGAATCATGTCATCGGCTTTTTTAGCCATATAAATAGCCATGATATTGTATTTACAAAACAATTCATCTCCTCATAGGTTATAATAGTGCAATAAATACAAACTTATTTCAAATAATAGCAAAAGAATCTAATAAAAAAGATAACATCCTTTATGTGGGAAATATCTCATTCTATCACTAATATCTTCAATACTGGAAATTAAAGAGGTAACACAATGGGGAGAGGTTGGGTTCTCTAAATGATGTAAAATGTTTTCAAAATATGAATGTGGGATTCTGTGACAGGAAACCTAGACCATAAACTGAACCTGTTTCTAGTTTGTGTGCTCTCTGTTGGTTTAAGCAAACTACCATACAGAAGATAAACAGGAGCAAATAATTAAGGGATCATGTGGATTATAAACTTCCCGGGTGGATTAGCAGGTGCCTAAGAGAGTGGATACCAGGCCAGCATTCTCAGGGCTTAATTTACAACCTGGGGAGATGTTTCACATTACACAGTACAGTGCCTAAATTAGAGCAGGTCCTTGGCAATTTACAGAACTCTGGGAGATCCCGGTAACAGTGCAGGAGTGACTGTGTTGGTGGAAGGAAGGCTACATTTTATAGCAACATATTCTTTTTTTTTTTTTTTTTTTTTACGGAGTTTCGCTCTTGTTACCCAGGCTGGAGTGCAATGGCGCGATCTCGGCTCACCGCAACCTCCACCTCCTGGGTTCAGGCAATTCTCCTGCCTCAGCCTCCTGAGTAGCTGGGATTACAGGCACACGCCACCATGCCCAGCTAATTTTTTGTATTTTTAGTAGAGACAGGGTTTCACCTTGTTGACCAGGATGGTCTCGATCTCTTGACCTCGTGATCCACCTGCCTCGGCCTCCCAAAGTGCTGGGATTACAGGCTTGAGCCACCGCGCCCGGCCAGCAACATATTCTGATGCACCTCTGCATTACTTTGCTCGAAATCTATTTACAATGATATTTTCATGCACATTCCATTTTCTCTCAAAGTTTCTTCTTAGAATCCAGGTGAGGGACCTAAAACACAGCATGGGTTGAGTTCTTGAATATCAGGCATAGAAGGTCATCTTTCCTTTCCTTAAATACGGCTCTCCTATAGTTGACATTCTCAGTACTCAGTCTGTCACAGTTCATCTATTCCCATGCTTAGCCAATCCAGCTGCAATGCTCAAAAAGGATTCCGGCATATTCTCCCGTGTTGGGAATCAGTGGAGACAACGGGCAGGCCAGAAGCATGATTCATGTTGCACGTGAAACTGAAGCACAATCTCAGGAAATAGTATTCTTTCTAGTAGCCCTTAAAACAAACTACAAAATATCTCAGCCACAATTTGGGGGAAAAAATGCTTTTGTCAAAAAGTCTTGCATCAGGATGGAAAACATAGTGGGCCTAGGCTATACGGCCCAAGGGAACCTAATCTAAAGAACCAAAGTGGACCCTGCCTTTTGCATAAAGTCTTCGTTGTGTTGGGCAGATCTACCTGTTTAAAAATACACAAATGAAGGGGGGATTTGGGGATGTTTTACACTGATTCCAAAAGCTATCTTTCTCTGTACACAGTGCCTGCTTGTTATGGTTTGGCTACACCCTCACCCAGACCTCACCTTAAATTATAATACTCCCCACTTGTGAAGGGTGGGACCAGGTGGCGATACCCGGATCCTGAGGGCGGGTCTTTCTGTTCTCGCGATAGGGAGTAAGTCTCACCGGATGTGAAGGTTTTATAAAGGGGAGTTCCCCCGCAGACGCGCTTCCGCCTGCCCCGAGGTTGGATGAGGCGTTGCTTCTGCTCTGCCTTCCGCGGTGATTGTGAAGCCTTCCCTGGTCAGATGGAGCTGTGAGTACGTTAAACCTCTTTTCTTTATTATAAATTCCCGAGTCTCGGGTATGTTTTTATTAGCAGCGTGAGAACAGACAATACACTGCTCTTACAGACCCATGAATGGAAGCAGGCACATGGAATGAACCTTAGGCCTTGCCTTGGCAGATACATGCAATTAATTTTATGTTTTTTCTTTTTTCCTACCCACATATTCCTGATTAAGATGTGTAGATCTCAGCATGGTCTTCATGGTGACTCTACCCATCAATCAGGGCTAGCACTGATAGGGAAAAAATTCCCCACAACTTATTTCTTCCGTCTTTGACCTGACAGCATTTTAAATATTTGAAAATAGCTATGAATAACTACTTTATTTTGCTCTTGGCCAAAGTAATAACAAAAATTTTTGAAACAGTCTTCAAAGGTTATAGTTACCAGATCCATCACCACAGATGCATATCAATTCCTCAAGAGCCCACTTAAACTATTTTACAAAGCTGAGGTCATGATTCTGGATATGTGATACCTGGGTGAACAGGAAGGGATGAATCTTATTAATAAGACTTTGCCTGGGCATTGCACTGGAGCACTCGTCACACATGAGCCTGCTTTTATCCAGAACTTCTGAGTTCTTTGCCTGTATACTATGAATTCAGAATTTCTTCTCATTATATACATTTGAAATTATTTTAATTTTACTCTGAGAAAAATTTTACATTAATTTCTACTAATAATTTAATATTTAATAATTACATTATTGTATTGTGTTAAATAATTAAATTTAATAATAATATATCTGTTCTATTATTTTGTTTGGGCTGTCATTAGAATTTGAGGTCCTGAATCCATCATCCAATATTATTTTCACTCTTTAAACTAGAATCATTATGCCCTAATCAAAGATAAATGCCCTTTCCAAACAGTACTTATGAATACCCATCTCATAACAATACTAAACAAAAAATGGATGCATCTCTAGATGTGGTCTTGTGAAGCTATATTAGTTCATGAAAATATATTTCCAAAGGAATATATATTTATGGGGAATATGTTTGGGTATCTGCTCTATATATCATCAAGTCAATCCATGGTTTTGATAGCTAGCTTATTTTCTTGTTGTGTGAACAATCACTCTAGATATGAGTTTCATTCGAGTTCTTCCTTTCCATGGTGGCTCACCGAGAACACTGCCAGCACCTGAGCACTGTGATTCTTAGTCCCCTCAGCTGGTTCAGATGAAATTCTCCTGGGTAGGAGACGCCACTTCATTCAGAACTCTGAAGTTCTCTTTTTATAAGCTCCTTATCTTTTGGAGGTGTCAGTTTCTGATTTTACAGATGTCCCGCCTATAGTCCCAGCACTTTGGGAGCCTGAGGCTGGAGGATTGCTTGAGCCCAGGAGTTCGAGACCAGCTTGGGCAACTTAGGAAGACCCCTGTCTCTACAAAACAAATTGTAAATAGTTCACTGGGCATGATGGTATGCACCTGTGATCCAAGCTACTTGGGAAGCTGAGGTACTTGGGAGGAGGCAGGACCACTTTAGTCCAGGAGATCGAAGCAGCAGTAAGCTGTGGTTGCACCACTGCACTCCGGTCTGGGTAACACAGTGAGACCTTGTCTCAGGGGAGAGAGAGAAAAAAAAAAGTCCTAATCTCTGTATTCCATAATAAAGCTTCTTGATGATGTGCTTATAACACACCGTATGTGTGTATCAAAAATTTCATGTTCCTCACAAATATAAACACCTGATATATATCCATAAAAATTAAAATTAGAAAAAGTTTTTAATGCTTCTTAATGAATAAGCAAAGCCAGAACTGAGTAATCATCCATTTTCATACCAGCTTCAAGAATGAATTTTGTTTTTGTTTCAAGCATAATTTAGGCAGCCTTCTTGGGTCATTTTGTTTGTTTGTTTTTTGTTTTTCTAGAGGGTTTTTCTCAGGGGCTTCTCTTAGTGCTGCAGCTGCTGCAAGCCGCACAGGGCCTCTGTACACGCCCGGATAAGGCCACGCAGCTGGATGCTGGTCTCCAGGGAGGTGCTAGCACCCAGTTCAGCAGAGGCCCAGGTCGGCTTCTGCAAGAGGGCTGTCTGTGTGCAGGCCATGATATCTGCATTTGGAGGCACAGCAGGAGGGGGTGATCCCTGGGCTGCCTTGAGCCCTGCTTCAGCTCCCTCACAGCGCTCCGGAGGAGGTACTGGGGGCTGGGGCGCAGGTCGAGAGCCCAAGGGGAGCTTGGAGGCTGAGGCCAGCTGGTGCTCCCGAGCTTGGGATAGGGCAGCCTGGGCATTCAGAGCGGGATTATCTTTATCCACGTCTGAGTCGAACGACTCAGACCTTCAGAAGGATTGATGCCAAGGAAATCTTGTTCACGTTTGTCCCTCAGAGCATCTTACCCTAAGCCATAGAAGCATAAATAGTAAGATGAGAATTGCTCATTGTCTGACTCCTTGTACAGCATGACTTTTAATTCTAGTTGGAAACAAAGTGTTGACTATTGGTTACCTTAAAGTACTCACCATACTGAACATTCATTAAGCTATCGTTCCTCTTTGTTTATTCAAGACTGTGTAGAGTGACCAAATAGGGACAAAGTGACATACCTAGAGTTTGCTGCTCAGAATTTCCACCAGCATAACCCTAAAAACAGAGGGGCATGATGGAGTGGGAAGGGGTTCTGAGAGGAAAATCAGAAGCAGCCTAACACTGACATGAAGTATGTTCTGTCTTTAATATGTAAGTGAATTTTGCATTCTCTATAATAAAACTTTTAATATAAAAATGATATCTTTAATCTTTACTAAAACTTACGTGACCACAAAGAAGTACCATGTTCATCATGTGGCTGCTCAGTTTTCTCCCCCCAAGCTTTCACTCCCAAAGGCTGCATATCCCTGGGGCATACACACTGGCTGTAGTGCAACCTATGTAAACATAGAACATATCTAGACTATTTCCTGCCCTTAGAATCTGACCTTCAGAAGGATTAATGCCAAACTAAACTGATGTGAAACAGTTCTGTTACTATTGGCATTCCTTGGCTAAGAAGGACCACCTGATGCTCAGCCCCTTGAGAGCAGGAATGGTGGTTTATTGTTTTTCATATCCACACCACCTAGTACCCGTTAGAGTGTTTAATTGCTGATAACAGGAATTAAGGAATTTTAAAGGAGCAAATATTTTAAGGAACAATCAAAAAATGAATTTTCTAATTCAGCTTTTTGAATGAAGTCCCATTACTGAACTTTATAATATGATGTTTATTAAGCAGACATCCCTTTAAATACTCAGGTTTTTTTTTGGAGAGAGCAAAGCATATCTCTCTGTGGAAATTGTGTATAATGCCTGGTATTTTACACTCAAAGCAAGGTGTTGGCCAGGAAGGTAAAGCAATGGTGTCTATGTAGACTTAATATCACTGCTCTAAGTGGCCATTTTGTGCCCAGTAGCACTACCTTCCAAGTGAGTCGCAACTAATTTGATCCTGTTGGGTATGTTTTTGTCAATTGTTGTGATTCATCATGTGTCTTACAAGAGACACTCAAGCAAGAGTCTGCTTCAGTGTATGGTGAGGCCTTGTTGTTCTAGGCTAGAATAAACTCTTTGTATGCCTCATTGAATATGCCAGATATATGCAGTTAAGAATGAATTATTTTTCTGACCAAAGTGTGTAACAGTAGTTCAAATTGTGCCCTTGTTTTAACACTTTCTGTTAACATCTTGTTTTTCCCTATAAAAAGCCAGGGTGTATTATACCTGTAAATACTGCCTGTGAGAATTTGAACTTTATGTATCTGTGTGTGGATTTTCCTGTGGTTTTAGCCAAATGAAGTGTTATCAGTAATAAACAGGTTTCTTCATAAAAAAAAAAAAAAAGACTTTACATCATTCCCAATTTTTGGTGGATTTGTCCCTCAAGATGCTGTCTTTAAAAATGTATTTCGTTCTCTTCAACATGCCTTGGGACAGTTGTTTTGCTTGAAAATTGAGTTTCTTGTAGAAAACCTGGTGTGGTTGTATCTGGGTAATTTCCCATTTTTTCGTGATTGGTGATTTGCTTTTTAAAGTCATAGTTTTGGGGGTTGTTTTATTTTGTCAAGGGGTCATCTTTTTTTAGAGTTGAAGCCATGTTTATATAGACTGTTTTAAGAATTTTTAAAGATAAGTTCTTACCAACTACCTATTTCGTATAAGTCAGTTCCCCACTACAATTATCTCATGTACCCTGGGATGGTCCAGATGAGCCTGACCGTTACTGAAGGACATTTAGTGTGGTGGAAAGCCAGAGTGATTTTCAAAGGGGCTGTAACCATGGAAACAGGGAAAGGGTTAATTCAAATAACAAGAGATGCAAAAGCAAGACTGATAGGCAAGCGTACATCAGCATCCTGGCAGTACAGGATGAAGGTCCCAATTAGCCAGGTAGAACTTAGGCACAAAGACCCGTGCACGTGCCCCTTATATCCATCTTAGGACAGACAAATTCAGGTCCCAGAGCTCATTTCACTTTTAATTAACACAATACACTCCTCCTTATTGGTCAGAATTAGCATGACAGTATTCTTGGTTTTATGATGTTAGGCAAATTCTTCACTTCTCTAAGCTTTCTTATCCGCAGGTTGAAGGAATAAGCACTTACTGTGTGTTCTAATCAGATAAATTTCACAAATGCCATGTGCATTTTAAGTCATTAATAAATATCATTTATAATCATTGTCTCCAAATAGGGCACCTAGTTGATACTTGAATTCTGGAATTATCCAATTGCTACTGTATTAAATATTTGTGCAGATTTAGGATTGCAGCCTCTGTTTCCTTCATTTATCTTAGAGTCATCTAACCTTCTCAAGCAATATTATCTCTGTTATATCTTTTTATTCACTCATCCCTATTTTCCTCTGACTCTCACATGCAACTTTATTGTTTCTTGCGGACATATGTTCTTGCCGAGTTCCAGGTGCTGCCAACCCCCAGCAAAAGATAACTTTGGTAAAGGGATATGCTTCATTACCATGCTTCATATATTATGAATCTCAACCCTTCCAGTTACTACAAAACTATATCTATTAACTTTGAAAATTTTTGTGCTAAATGAATTACCCATGGTTTACTCATTAGTATGTACACATTTGTGTGTCATTTCTATTTTTTTCCCTTTAAATACTCTGTCTTTTCCAATTCTATTATTTCTTATGTGCTGTATCCAATATCTATTACATAAATGTTTTATACATTATAACCTGAGCACTGTTTTCTTCCTTCTTCTGAGCATGTGGACTCATTTCTGAGCAAATCATCTTCCAAAAGCTTCTAAGATGTATTGCATAGCACTAAGGCATGTTTTGGGGCATCTCTGGGCAGCCAACAATTCAACATGCATCTCATCCTTTTTACTCCAAAGCTCTGACATTCAGACAGAAGAATAACTCAAGATAGATAAAGGCTTGTTGAGGATCAATAAGCCCCAAGCTGACCCATGATTTAACAGTTATGTAAAATGAATGTGACGCTTTAACTCCAAAAGAGCCAATGAAAGCCTTTCCTTCTTCCTGTATTGGTAATAACCAAAAGAATAAGATTAGGGGTGTTTGTAAGCCGTAGAGCAGCAATCAAATATAAGTTGCTATTAATTTTCATTTTTACAATTATTAACAGAGATGTAATACATATTAGCAGATGTATCTTGGACTATCCAGCTCCCTCCCAGTGGAACCTGGTGCCTTTCAGAGAACCAAGTTCCAGACAGAAGACCTAATCCACACCAAAGCTGCCTAAAGGAGAGAGTGCCGTTCAATAGTCAGGCAATTTCAGAAGAATATTTAGGAATGGATGGAAACTCCCAGACGGACTTGTGACTCTCTACATGAAGAAGCATATATAGTCCAGGGAAATTTTATCATCTACTGAAAACTGTAATGAGGACACTCAGTGATATACACATATACACAATACACACATTCATGTATTTATTGTGTTCAATATATATAATGTATATATAATATTGAACACATATTGTGTTCAATAATATATAATGCACTGAATATATTCAACAGTATACTAGAGAGTATGAGAATGAGAGCAATCAAGCAGCATTCATGTAAGTCCTGCAGTAATTTAAAGTAAGCAGACAATGTTTTACAGACAAGTGTGGAAAAATCCTTTTGGTGATTGGTTTTTCTCTAGGATTACTACCTTATTTTCACCCTGTATCTTCAAATAACAGATTTTGCTATTTGAAGTTTACTGGGCCTGGCTGAGTTCCCCAAGTGATCCTTTCCCATGCAGACTGTTGTTCTTGAAGCTGCTTATTCAAGATTTTTAATACATTTTTGCAAAACATTTTCCAATGGAAACATTTTCAATTTTTAAAAAATTATGCATAATTTTTAACTTTTTTGAAAAAAGACCAAATTATTGTAAATACATACCATTTTCATTCTTTAATTATTAATTTTTTATTGTATTTTAAGTTCTGGGGTACATTGTGCAGAACATGCAGGTTTGTTACATAGGTATACACGTGCCATGATGGTTGCCTGCATCCATTCTCCCATCATCTACATTAGGTATTTATCCTAATGCTATTCCTCCCCTACCCCCTCACCCCCATTGCCCGACACAGGCCCCACTGTGTGATGTTCCCCTCCCTGTGTCCATGTGTTCTCATTGTTCAGCCACTTATGAGTGAGAACACGCAATGTTTGGTTTTCTATTCTTGTGTTAGTTTGCTGAGAATGATGGTTTCAGCTTCATGTTCCCTGCAAAGGACATGAACTCATCCTTTTTTATGGTTGCACAGTATTCCATGGTGTATATGTGTCACATTATCTTTATCCAGTCTATCATTGATGGGCATTTGGGTTGCTGCCAAGTCTTTGCCTTTGTGAACAGTGCTGCAATAAACATAAGGGTGCATGTGTCTTTGTAATAGAACCATTTATCATTCTTTGGTTATATACCCAGTAATGGGATTGCTGGGTCAAATGGTATTTCTATTTCTAGATCCTTGAGTAATCACCACACTGTCTTCCACAATGGTTTAACCAATTTACACTCTCACCAACAGTGGGAAATACAGAAGAGTTTGTATTTCTCCACATCCTCTCCAGCATCTGTTGTCACCTGGCTTTTAAATGATCATGAGCAGGTATCTCAATGTGGTTTTACTTTGCATTTCTCTAATGACCAGTGATGATGAGCTTTTTTCATATGTTTGTTGGCTGCATAAATGTCGTCTTCTGTGAAGTCTATGTTCGTATCCTTTGCCCAACTTTATTGGGGTTGTTTGTTGTTTTCCTGTAAATTTGTTTCAGTTCTTTGTAGATTTTGGACATTAGCCCTTTGTCAGATGGGTAGACTGAAAAAATTTACTTCCATTATGTAGGTTGCCTGTTCACTTTGATGATAGTTTCTTTTGCTGTGCAGAAGCTCTTTAATTAGATCCCATTTGTCTATTTTGGCTTTTTTTTGCCATTGCTTTTGGTGTTTTAGGCATTAAGTCTTTGCCCACGCCTATGTCCTA